GAGATGTTTGCGTTAAATATTTAACATCAAGTCATAAAATCTGTATCGTTCGTTCAATTTAAAAAAAAATGGAGTGTCAAATTCAAATAATTGCTTCCGCAGATGTTTACGTTAAATATTTAACACCAAGTCATAAAATCTGTATCGTTCGTTCGATTTTCAAAAAGCGGGTAGGTGTCAAACGAAAGTGCTTGCCCTGTACATGTGTAATATGGTTTTAGTTTTGTGCCATATGTATGTAAGAAAATCAAAATCAAATTATTTAATAAGTTAAATAAATTACCCCAATATGGGTATCAATCGAAATGGTTTTGAATAAACTTTATTTTTTAATTACATTTAGGAGGGGTTCCACCTGTTTGAAAAGTCGAATATAGTTAAAAAGTGTTGTGCTTAAAATACTATGCAACAATTAAAATATTTTTGAGGTGCTTGAAGAGAGTGGCCACCTGTCTTAAAAGTTAAACCCAAATTCCACTATGGGACAGCCGAAACTAGCCCGGACTTTGTTAACATTCTCTGAAAGTATACCCATCCAGTAGTAAAACACTCGATGGATTTGCAAAAGTTAGCTCGTAGTTTTATTTCATGGCCTACTAAAGTTTTCATGTCTCGGCCTAAGTAGTTTTCAAAAAAGTCGAAAAAATAGTTAAAATAAATGTCTGAGCGAAATCAAAGTTTAAGACATATATAATAAAATTTCATGGGAAATATTTTTGTGGAACATTTTAACCCATTAGCTCGCGCCTAAAAGGCTTATTTTGACCTTTACTTCAAGAAATCCCGCCAAATGCAAATTTGAAAGGTCGTTAGAGGATTGATATATTCTAGAAAATTATTCTCCTGGAAATTTTACTAGGGGTCTTCTCAGGTGAAAGCTTCATCCCACCAACGTAAAAGCCTCTACACATTTAAAATAAAAAAATCAACAAAAAAACTAGTTTTCTACAAAAAAAAATTTTAAATTTGAGTTTGGAATAACAGTTCCTTCTAGGCACAGATTTTTTGTCCCGATGCATCAGTTCGAAAAACATGTATTTTTTTTTACTTGCATCCCTAAGACAAATGGAGTGCCACACACAGTGATGACAAATTTAGTCAGAAAGAATAAAGTTGAAGAGTTGATTTTTTAGAAATAAAGATGAAATTAGATTTTTTTCTAGAAAAATTGGATTTTATCCGAATTTTGGCAACACAAAGTTCAATTTCAAAAATTCGCCATTTTGGAGCTAAAATTCGATTAAAATTCGAATTTCGAAGCTTCGAATATCGAATTTACCCATCCCTACTGAGAAAATCGTCAAAATGTATGCTGTATGAGCTTTACCTCTTATACCACTGATTGTTCAGATACCAGTCTTTGCGATTTATCTCCTTTATGTAGGAAGCTAAACCCATTAAATTTGTTACCGGTTGACATACCGATCACACAGCAGTGAAAATCACTTACACCCAGAAAAAGGTTTAGTTATAATAACCAAGATTTGGTTATAGTGATCAAGTGGCATAGTTGGATATGGCGAAATAAATATATAGTTCACGAAAGTCTGCAATTTACTTAAGACTTCTAGTTGGGACAAATGTATATTTGTTAATAATTACAAAACGACTACCTTGATTGGACAATATTGTTAGTTGAATAAAATCATTGTTGAGCAAATACAAACAATGCTTTGGTTGATACAAGTTTTCAATTAATTTTGTGAACTTGCTGTAGACTTGAATCAGCTAACCGTTTATTATTAGGAAAAAAGTTTCAGTTCGACACAAATAAAAATTTACTCGATGTTTGTTGTGTTTACTTTCTTCTTTTATTTGCATATATTAAGCATAAAAATACGTACATATTTACATAAGTTAGTTACTAAAGTAAATAATACATATGTATATGTTGGTAAGAATTTCATAAAAAACAACGATGAAACAGGAACAGTCGTGCGAAAACCCAGGTCAATATCTGCTGGAAGTATACTGCTTTGCTTTTTCCTTAGCTAAATAGACAATTTCAAATTATAATTCCCATGAATTATATATCCACTGAAAAACCCCGGTTGGCATCACGATTGAGAGAATACAAAGGTTGCGCCGATCTCGGACCGCTATTCCTCTCTTAACGAATTTGACAGAATCGTCGTTTGCATGACGTCACACTGGTGCATCTTGTTTACATTTTTTCTTCTTCTTCCATTCTTGCTCACGTTTTGGCATTTCTCTCTCGCAATTGCACCAGTGTGGCGTCACACAAAAGTTATTCTCAAAAATCCTCTCTGATCGGCGCAATCTTGTATTCTATCATTCTTGGGTTGGCATCAAACTTTATATTTTTAATTAAACTTTAAACTATGCGCGCACCGAAACAACTCGCGATGATAGCAAAACTAAACTGAGACAAACAAGTATGGGCATGTCATAGCACACACGGCGCAGCGATCGACATGCCATAGCTTACTGAGCGATCTGGGACCACATGCGTGTTTCACCCGTATACGAACAAGCGGTAGCGGAGCAATGATTTCCCCGCACAATGCAATGGTCGGCATACTAGCGCATTCAAACGATTCAATAAGTGGGACTGTGTGCATTGCTCAGCTGGCGCTCTTCGTATGTGCTCAGAGAGCGCTCAGCATTCTTTAGGGGTGGCTCACAAGCATGAATATGTTCCACTCTCAAACCAAATCGTGGTTGCCTCAACTAAGATTTGGTAACTATGACTAAACCACGTGTTGAAAGAAAGCTTATCTGCGTTAGCAGAGCTTTATAACATCCTTTTATGAACCATACGTTAAGTTGAATGGAATTTGTAGAAATATGCTTCAAAGAAATATTTATTAGTATTAACCAAACCCTTCAACTAAATTAACGATTTGTTACAACCTAGATGAATATTAGAAGCTTTAATATATTTAGTTATAATTACCAATCGATGGTAATAGTTCCCAATCCTTGGTAACAGTTCCCAAATATTGTCAAAATTCGGGAACTAAATATCTTTAGTTGTCGGACCTATTCCTTTTGTCAGTGTAGATTGGTGCTATATAAGGTATATCATCCATACCTCTGATTGTTTAGATATGATTTGTTATATATGTATCTGCTCTATCTATGCCTGCTGTAATATATAAATTTTCTTCAAATGCAGTAAAATGTTAAAGTAAAATTTTCAGATGTTCATGAAAGGTATGAAACCTTCGGCATAGCCGAGATAGCGCTGCTCTTACTTGTTTATTTTGTACCAATGTGTTTGATAATTTCTTGGTGTGGCAGCAATCTAAATATATATTATATTAATACGCCGCATGTACTTATCTAAACGTTAGATTCTAAAGAGAAGGCTCACAGTTCAAAGCTTCGTGTAAAAATCATCTGCCGTTCGGAGGCATGTTATTGCGTCTGTTTTAAAAGTGCATGCAAGCAATTCCTAAGTCTGGAACATATTTACGTAGCTAAATAGCTACGGCTAAATCTGTTCAATGGATTTCTTTGCTTTCAAATTGAGCAATTTTTAGACTATAAAATCTTTACTTTTAACGAGAAAACGGGGCCTTAGATTGCTTCTACTTTTTATTCCAGTATCTAGTATTCAGTAGAGAAATCAATAAAGCCATGTCTGTCCGTCCGCCCGTCTGTCCGTCTGTCTGTCCGTGTACACGGTAACTCGAGATATGTCAATGAAATTTAGTAAGTAGGTTGCCCTTTATCCAAGGTAGGTTGGGATTGAAAACGGGCAAAATCTGACAATAGCCACGCCCACTTTCCATATAACGGTATTTTCGAAATATGCAAAAACTACGCTATTTCCGTAAATACTGGATCAAAATTATTGCAAGCTGGTACACGAAATAGAGTTGTGGAATAAAATAAGACAGTTATGAAATTTTTCGAAAATGGGCGTGGCATCCCCCACTTACGATGAAATGCTGTATCTCTGTAGTCCCTTCACCAATCCCCACCAAACTCGGTACAAATGTTTCTTAGAGCCTTACTAAGAAACACTGTGAACATTTTTGAATTCAGACAAGGAACACGCCCACCTCCCATATGACGGTAATTTACAGAAATACGAAAACTGCGATAAATTAGTAACTATTCAAGCTAATTTACTCAAAATCGATATATACAATTACTTCTTAGCAGAAAATGCTACTTTGGGAAATTTTTGGGAAAATGGGCGTGGCACCGCCCACTTACCCCTGCAAATCTGTATCTCGGTAACCGGCTTATCAATTTCTACCAAACTAGGTACATTTATCAACCTGGGTTCAAAAAAGCGATATGTTGAAAAGTTTTGAAATCGGACTAAAATTAACTCCACCTACCACATAACGGTACGAAAATTCCGATATTTCGATAACTAAACACGCCAACTTACAACAGTCTCTTAACAAGACACAATATTATTGATTTTTTTAATGGGCGTGGCACCACCCACTTATGACTATATACATATTTAAGTGTATATTGATAGCCCCTTATCGATTTCCACCAAACTTGCTCCAATTATTTCAAAATCTCATAGCATATTATCGAAACTGTTTGACATCGGAAGAAATACTCTTGCTTATCATGCAGTTTACTGAAAAGTGAAAGAACGATATTTAATACGTGCGCCGGGTATATAAAGTTCGGTTGCGCTCGAACTTATACTTCTTTACTTGTTTCGATATGTGCTTAAATTTCTGGACGATTTTGGTAAGTTTTATTTTTTCGTCGCAGAAACACTGTATGGTACTCAAAGACGATTTCTCAATAATATACATCAAATCTCGAAATCGGGATACAAATGAAAGTTATGAATAAAGCGCTACTGTTAGCGCATGGCTATGATGCAAACTTATATGAGGCTTATTCCTTCAAAACGAAGGAAGGGGGTAATTATACATTTTTTTGCGACTTAATCTAATGTACACACTGAATAACGTGATATACATAAATAAACCGTTTCTTATTTTTTAAATCGATTTCCTTTTTTGTCAAGTAGGTACATATGTATGTATGTGATCTTATTTATAGAAGTAGTTTTCAAAAGAACCGGGAAAATGTTTCCAATAAGTCCGGCGATTACTTGAATTTGGTCGGCGACCCTGATCGTCATTAAATTTTTCTGAGATAGAGCAAAGATTCTCATACGCAGGATTCTTGCCCGTTTTACATTTCGAGGCTGGATCGTTGCAACTATCATACACCGGCTGATTCAGCATATTGGTCTCTGCATAGTTACAAGCGAAAAGATAATTAATCATTCCACGGTCCTGGAAGGAAGATGCAGCACATCCTACACGAATATTCCGGTCCACCACCATGACAGTGAAGTGACCAATTTTCCTGAGAAGTAAATAACTGATTATTTCTTTGAAACTAATGAGCTATACACAAAAACTTACGAAATACCACTCGAAAGGTGATTTATGTCAGACATTCTAACATCTTTTATTTCATCATACCACATGTTGACAAATTTTTTCAATAAAGTCTCAACAGACGATGAATGAGTAGACATCTGTAAGGCTAGATTTTGGCCGGAATTTCGGAATGCTTTGGTATTGTGACAAGCGTCATGTTTCATTTGGCATTGTTTGACATTTAGCGCCGCCAAAGAGGCCAGTTCCTCGTCCCATTCCATGGTGGCCATGCGGCAAGCTGGCTCCAATTTGGTCTTTCCGCCAGCCACCAAACTTCGCTTGGCGTTGTGCTCATCGACGATAAGCCTTTTATGTTTAGCTGTTAACTCAATCATTCTTGGATCGCTACATCTCCTCGAAAAGTTCTGTAAAGATGTATAAATCGTTATTACCCTGGGGGAAATGTATCTAATTTAATTTGAAGTTGATTAGGAAGCAGCTAATGGTCACTATTATCTGTATATTTTTTGGAGAAAGCTAACTAAATTTCTATGGCGCTTAACTAACTTGTAACTAACTACTTTTGGTCTTAAATATCAATAATAAAAGTAGAATATTTTTTGTTTTTCTTTACTTCTTGATTTATTTGCTTTATTTTATTACATTTCATGTTTGTTCACATATTCTGCTACAGGTGGTCCCATATTCGAAGTCCGTCAGACATAACTTAAAAATAATATGTAATATAAAATTTCGACCTTCCTTTTATTATTATTTTTTTTTTTGTTTTGCAGAACGAAAGTGTATTCAAAGTAAAATTTGTATAAGGATATGTAAATAGAAACTTGTTTAGGGAAAACAATCTCCCGATTACGTCTGCATTAATCCAGCATTACTTGTCAACTAGTTTCAAGTTAGCTTTTTGTACAAGTTATATAAGTTATAGAAATCCCGCAAAAAATCTAACTACAAGTTGGTAACTTTTTTATGCAGGGTTTACCAGGGCCGTGGGCAGGATTTTTTTTCGGAGGGGGAAGGGAGGACGGAGGGGTTCTGGCAAAATATTTTTTTTTATTTTTACTTTTATTTCAACATATTTTGATTAAAAGAAAAATACTGATAAAAATAAAATATTTCACACAAACACCAAAAATATAATCGATAATCGCATGAGGCTATTGCCTAAAGATTTTAAAATGCACTTAGTGGCTATGTGCTACTATGATAGCTCGGCCCAGTAATCATAGTCAACTTATGTACAGTAGACTGCATCATTCATTATATTTTAAGACTTTCACCAAAATATCCCGCAAAAATATTAAGATATACGTGAGCTGGACCGATTTGAAAATACTTCCAAAATTTAGTTTTTTTACAAAATAAATAAAAAACAGTTTTTTTAAATATTTTTTGAAAAAAATTCCCTCAGATGACTAAACAGTTTAAGCTTAAAAAATTTGCATAAAACATTTAAAAAAAATTTCTACGGAATCATAATAATGCGATTTTCGCTGCTGTTTTTGAACTTTTTTCAAAGACTGGTCTAAGAAAAACTCTAATAACTCAGCCAAAACCCTACCAATTTAGACTTATGAGGTATTGGTAAGGTATTTTTTCACCCTTTGAACTTCTTTGCGATTAAGCTCATTCAAAGTATGAAAGAGGACGGTAAGATAAACGCGTGTCATTCTATGTTGAATTAAGATGTGTTGGTATTTTATAAAGAAAAATTTGACACGTGAATGGGTTTGTTTTGCAAAGAAAGAAAAAATGTGAGAAAATACCTTTCCACTGATACCTCACAAGTCTATATCGGTAAAGAGTTGGAGCAGTTATTCATGTTTTTCTTTCACAAACCTTTAAAAAGTTAAAAAAAACAGTATCAAAAATTTTATTATTATGATTCCGTTGATTAAATTTTTTAATATTTTTATGTGGATTTTTTAGGCATATACCAAAAAAATTTTTATTCATAAAAAACTCCATTTTTAGAGGTATTTTCAAACCAGTCCAGCTCACGTAAATCTTATTATTTTTCAGAAATATTTTGGTAGAAGTTTTAAAATATGCAAGGTTTGGTAAACCCACCGGAATAAATGCACTTTTTTCGTACATTGTACAGTAGTCGAAAAAATTATAGCCGCACCAAATTTTCACAAGTTTTAAAATGTTATTTTTGTTGTTATTCAATTTTGGTTTATTCTTTACTGTCGATTCTTTAACAACATCCGTATAAATACAATTTTAAAGGCAGTGTCACACGATTGGATATTTGCCAAAATTTGATGCAAATCGTATACCAATTGTATGAATACCCAAATATTTTTCTTTATCCCAATCACGAAAATTAGTTTGTTGAAATTTTTCAATAGAACATCACTGTATTGTAGCATTAAAAAAAAATCCCATTTTTTTATTTTGTGGGTTAGGCTTCCTTAAATGGGCACCGAATTTACCAACATTAATATTTTTCTTGGGACCCGCCTCGGATGAGACCCCCCCTCATTATGACGACCACGGCAAACGTTTAAAGGACTACGATTTGAGGGCATGCACCTGGAATGCCCGGACCCTTAATGGGGAAGGTACCTCTGCCCGGGTGGTTGATGTCCTCAAATTCGGAGTTGGATTTGTGGTGGGTGAGAGACTACGTCGCCGAGTACTGTCTTTCCCCCGGTGGACGAGCGTCCAGCCACAATTATTTTTTTTTAATTTTAATTTGTTAAAAAAAAGTTACACACAAATTTTTCAAGCAACAAATTTTCTTAATAAACGTGAAATTGTTAAGAGATAAACCCCCGAGGAGAGCAAGTAAGTACGTTTAAAGTTGGGTAATAAGTAAATACGTTCGACTTTTCTTAAATATTTAATGTAAGGAAACCAAGATGAAACGGAGCAAAACGTTTGAACGGTGTGCTGTATGCAATAAAAGTCAGGACACGAAAATAGTGCGATGTTTTAAACCACCTAGTTGCGAATTAAGATGGTAGCGATGGGAAGAAAGCTGTGGTGTTGTACTACGTGATTCATCTCGCGTTTGTGAAAACCACTTCAAGGAAAGGGATTTCATTAGTTGTTCGTCCGAATCAAGCACTTTCAAACCAGCTCGTTTATACCCAGCCGCAGTCCCAATGCCATACGAAATAACTGAAACAAGTGAGGATTTAGAACGCGATCAGGATACATTATGTGTTGATGTCCAAACTCAAACAGGCCATGCAAGCAAGTATGGAAGATCTTAATTTAAAACTGCTCGAAGCAAAGTCTTTAATGGAAAACTATTTCGCATGAAAAAAATTTTATTTCAAAATTGTTAGAGTTAAGCTCACATATAAAATTTTAAACAAATGTAAAATCCTACTTTTATAAGTGTCGAATAATGTTTGGGATAAAAAATTTAAATATAAAAATAAACGCACAAAAGCAAGCATAAACTTGGGCAATTAAAAAAAAAGAAAATTGCTAAAACTATTTTATAAACAATTTGTTTTATTTTATTGACAAAATATATATATTCCAGGTAAGGTAAGTAAAACAAAACTATAATCGAAATAAAAGCCTAGGGTAGTAGTGTCCAACCGGTAGCTCGCGGGCGCCTGGTAGCTCGCGACCTAAATTTTAGGCGCCCGCAAACAAGAGAATGAACAGAATATTTTGTATTGAATTGAAAAGTTTAACAACTGGAAGCTTTCTTGGAACGTAGTTTCAATAAACAACTTTTGACGGATAATAAAATTTTTTGAAGTTTCATAAATTGTGAGTATTCTTAAAGGCCTTGCCACTTTGATAATATTAAAACAATAAATCGGAGTATTTTATTTCACACATTTCTACCAATTTAAAAATATTTCAAATCAAAAATCATTATCAGTGCTTGGTTATTTTTTCACTTACGTGTTTCGCACCTTTTTTTATTAAAAAAAATATATAAAATATGTAATGTTAAAGGAGACTTCATTGAAATTGTTCTTTTTATTTTATAACAAAAATCACGTTATTTTTTCATTTTCTTATTTTGAATGCAATCTTGCGATTTAAAAATCTAATTCTAAAGAATACTTTTTCTAAACAAATCTTTTTATAATCGTCAATTCCATGTGAATAAATTGTTCTCATAACTTAACATGCAAAACAAAAACAAATTGGGAAAAATTATTTTTGTTTTGCCTTATTATTTTGGGAATATTTGTTCACATGAAATTCCTGATTCGTGATGAAATTCGTGAAATTTTATNTTATTTTGAATGCAATCTTGCGATTTAAAAATCTAATTCTAAAGAATACTTTTTCTAAACAAATCTTTTTATAATCGTCAATTCCATGTGAATAAATTGTTCTCATAACTTAACATGCAAAACAAAAACAAATTGGGAAAAATTATTTTTGTTTTGCCTTATTATTTTGGGAATATTTGTTCACATGAAATTCCTGATTCGTGATGAAATTCGTGAAATTTTATTTTTAAATTTCTCGTCAGATTTTGCAAAAAATTAGGTTTTGTGGTTAGTTCACCATTAACTTCAACAAATTTCAAATTTAAAATTTCAAATGTACCTATTCCAAAAACTTGAATTCGGCTTGCGCAAACCGCCCTCCAATAAGCAGTTAGCATAAGTATAATTTTGATCACTTTCTTCATCCGTTCTGAAACCTAGTTTCGTCAACCCCTTTTTTGAGATTATGCATTAATTTTCAGGTTCATCATATTCGACATCTTTGAGTGGATTGATGAAATCTTCTGAAAAATATTACTGCTCGTGATCAGGTAGCATGAATTTAATGAAATATCATAATTTTATTAAAAGTCAAATGGTTAACAACAACAACGAATGTCATTAAATGAAACTACCTTCTTTTTTGTATCATGGTACATAAGTAGGCTTTTATTTTTGAATTTTCACGAACTAATTCACTTCTTATCTTTCTACGCTAGACATGACAGAACCTGTGTTTCAGGATTTCCAAAACAAAAATAGCGTAATCTCAGCAATAAATGAGTGTCGTTATCTAATGACCTAGCAAACGATATTCATGGCCAAATAAAAAGCCATTTCAAGAAATGTGACTGGGTTTCCTTACAAATGGATGAGTCGACTGATGTTTCAGACTCTCCGCACTTATTAGGGTTCACCAGAGTGGTAAGATATATGTATATGTATATGTAGTGAAAAAGAAGGAAAATCTGATTGCAAAACCACTCAACCTTGACAATAGTTGCATTTTTTTTACTCATTTCCAGTAAAATCCAGTAAAAGTTTTTACGAATTTTCATGTTTTGGCGTTTTCGTACGCAAAAACTTGCAAAGTAGGGGAAATTGAGAGAGCAAAAAATAACAGTTGAAGTTGCAAGTTTTTACTGGATTTTACTGGATAAATTTTTACTTGTAAGAATTTG